TGGATACAATACACCCACGCTCAGAAGTATGTGGACACTAAATATCTAATAACAGTTGCAAATCTATTAATATCAATTGTATTATTTATCTTTCAATATGTTTATGTTGTATTAGCGAATATATTTTATTAATAGTCTTTTTTTAATATCACATGAGTAATGGTAAAAACCTTTAGAGATAACTAGATAATATTATCATTTTTTTTTACCAAACTTGGATACTATTAATTTCTTCATAGTATCCGAAGTAATATTATCTCTTTTATTTTGTAATATTTCGCCAAAAATGTGTTTGATATATTGAACATTCTTTTTGAAATTTTCTATCTAAACGATCTCATAGTTCCACTAAAAAATTAAATATGGCAGTCGAAATATTTAATATAATCAAATGTTGTTAAATATATCCAATATAGAATTTAGCAACAAAAATTGTATAATAATAATTCACGATCTACATTAATTATTCATTGAAAGTAGTACGTGTCCACATATTTATGAGCGAGGGTGTACGTATAATATTAATGCGCAAAAATGTAAAAGCCAAACACATTATACGATGCATCAATAGATTCAGAAAAAATGTTCTTCTTAGTCATTATATAAACTGTAATTACTTTTAAAATTAATGTTATAAACAAATTATTTTTTTTACAAAATTTAGGGTCAGATTTTATATGCAAATAGAAAACATGAAACTTTTTCTTAAAAAGTTTTCTTCTATTTATGATAGTTTCGGAGATAGCCTATTGCAGCTGAAACTTTAGGGGGTCGTTTCAACTCCTAAATATGAAACAGGCGAAAATACAAAAATACGTATATTTTATTTTTCGCTCCTTTAAAACATATCCAAAAATCAAAACAATTGGAGGCGGATACCTAAAAAACATTCCTTGTGAGAGTCGAGGTGATCGTAAAAAATTTAAATGCCTACAAATCTGTGAAACAATAATGCGACAACTAACTTTTTTTATTGTTAATTTTTTTTTAATACAAATTTCACTAACATATTGGTGAGGTTTTCCTGATTAAAATGAGACCAAACACGATATTGTTATGACCATTGGTTATGATACTAGGCTTGTAAATGTTTTCTTTTACTCTTTTTCCGCTGTCTGTTCCTATGCTCTATCGACGTCGGCAAATGTAAGAATATTTCGACTTCAGTAAAATGGCAACAGCACAGCGTGGGGAAAGAGATAGATGCTGTTATGCCAGAATGACAACGTCGCAATGTATCGATATTCACGTTAGCAGTCGTCCTCAGTAACCGCCATCTCATACCGATTTCCTAAACTAAATTTGGTACGTGACTTGCTCTACCATTATCCACAAAATAGCGGAACTCGATTTTGGGAATGCCTTTACGATTTTTCGCTTTTCGTCCTTATATTAGCATATTTTGGGCTGAATGAGGGGTCATTTGAAAGAGAAAGGTTCAATACATCCGGGGCTGGTCATCGTGTGAATCACAAAACTCTTGTAGTGACTTACAAATACTTGGATTCTGCAGATGTATTTTATCGTATTCTTTCTCTACTTTGGACACTCATATTACTAGATATTAACAAGATCTCGTTGAATTATGACCAGCCCCGGATGTATTCAAGCTTCCTCTTTCGAATGAGCCCTCACTCAGCCTAAAATATGCTAATATAAGGACGAAAAGCGAAAAATCACGGACCTCTTTTTACGCCCATTTTTGCCGGTAATGTTACCTAGCTGCATTACCCGTGTCTATTCCCTTAACTGTATGCAATACTGCCCCCCCCCCCCCATCGTCAAAACAAATACATCAAACCGTCTCAGACAATATTTCCACGTAAGCAATAATATGTATATATTAATAATTTCCGAAGAACGAGCAGTGATACATAATATTCAAGCTTATGAAGGATAAACAAGATTTGTTAATTCTTTTGTGAACTTTAGATATATGTTTACACAATAATGTGGTAACGTTCAATTTTCAGGTAACGTTTTTATGTAAAAGTTATATTTTATAGTTCTCCATCATCTGGTATCTTCCGGTAACTTTCTTCGTGTCATTTTGGAGTATTGTTTTTGAAATATTTTAAGAAACCAGAATGCCTGATTATACTTAAACACAATTTGTAAAATATTATTTGAAATTCTACCAAGTATTTTCGACTATTTAGTATTTATTACAATCTGTTAGAGAAAAAATAACAATATTAAATACATTTGTGTTTGAAAAATTTATCATGTAGATATTTCACCCACTGGTTCATATATTCTTGTATAACTTAATATAATTACTAACGATCTTTTCATTAATCTTTCCATTACTCTATTATTACACTAATATTTTAAAATCTATTACTATTGTCTAATGGCTTAAATCTTTTCAGTCTGCGGAATACAACATAAGATTAGTATGGTTCTTTGTTGTAGTGGCTAAGAGCAGACATACGACCGGAACGGTAAAAAAGTTTTGGTGGTTGAGAGTAGACATACGACCGCAAAGGGTTAATAGTATTCAATACTGCCGTCCAAATAAAAGCTAATTCAAGCATGAATAAAAAATGTTTAATTTTGCGCCACCTCCGAAAAAGTTATTTAATATAATTTAATGTAAAGGAAATAGAAATTTAATATATTATTTAATATAATTGAATATGAAGGAAATAGGAATTATTTCCTTATAATAGGAATTATCTCCTTATAAGTTCAGGTACCTCGGGATTGCTAAACCCGTAGTGTAGCTACAATCGAACATAGCTACAGCCCCTGAGGACGTAGAAACTAAAAATAGACTTAAATTAAAAATAAACGAAAATAAATACATGGTTTTCTAATCCATGTCTAACCCCGCTCACCAATAACTGATAACCCCACGGCGCCAATTAAAAGATAAAGTCATCCTTGTCGTGTAATGTATCCAGCATCGCTATCTTATTTAAGAAATCTAAATAAAAATTGTTTCTACACTGCTTCAAACAATTAGTGAGACACTTTTTCAAGCCGTCGTAACTATGAGAGTTCTCAACCGATTGAAATGAAACTTCGTGAGGAGTACTTTTGAAGTGTCCCCTAGGCGTGTGTAAAGATGCATTGGCGAGGGTTGACGCGAAGGGGTTAATTCACCTCCTTAATGGTGGGCGCGTCGAAAAATGTCACTTCTGAAGGTGCCAGGAGTAATGGAGAGGGTTAAAAAAGTTAAAAAAACTTTTAGGGCGACTCTCTTTGATGCCCTCTAAAAAATGCACCCCTTGAAATCCCTCTTGGACAAACTCACCTCCCACAACCCCCCACTTCCTCAAAAATCCACAATTTTTTGACGACGGTCTCGATTTTGGATTCAATGCATTTTCTGGACTCCCCTGATCCAGTAAATGACATCGTCCGTACTGTGCTCCCCATAGGCGCCTTTTGGGGGGAGGGGGTTGGAACAGCTTGCAATTTTTCAACCCCCTTCGTAAAAAAACACTTCTACGCATCGGGAGGCGATGAAATTCACCATGTTTATTCTCGACACGTTAAGGATGAATGCCGAAAAGATCCCGTTTCGAAAAGTGCCCCCGGAGCTGAAGGGAGGGGGGCAGAGGTAGGGGTGGTCCACTCCGAAGTGTAAGGGTTGAAACGTTGTCACGTTGCGTGGATTACATGTCCAACAGTCCAGGGCATCGGGGTGACACAGTTTTGATGTCTTTTTCTCGCGTGAATGGCAATAAAATACGAAAATGTCGATTTTGTTTAAAAACTCGCTTTCAACTTCAGGCCCATCAGCAAAGTGAACGAGTAACCCCGCGTCAACACCGTTCGCGGATTCGGACGCGCGAACGCTTTATTAACAGATCCGATTTCAGAAAATCAGATTTTTTGAATGACGCTTTCGTTATCAAATCGGAGCAGATGTGAAAGAGTAATAAGTGGGCCAGACGGAGCCGGCATTCAGAAGTGGAGCGAGGGCCTGCACCCGTACGTGGTCAGACCAGACTGAAGAAGTGACATTTTTCGACGCGTCCGCCATTAAGGAGGTAAATTAACCCCTTTGCGTCAACCCTCGCCAATGCATCTTTACACACGCCTAGGGGACACTTCAAAAGTACTCCTCACGAAGTTTCATTTCAATCGGTTGAGAACTCTCATAGTTACGACGGCTTGAAAAAGTGTCTCACTAATTGTTTGAAGCAGTGTATATTATTCAATAAACCTATAATAATCCCCTGCAAATAGATTTTTTGTTGACTCACTTATTAAAAAAAAAAATTGTTGAATATAGCTATGATTTTCGCGCGTTCCCGATGACTTCGACCATTAAGAGGAAAAGCCTCAGTAAGAGGACAAATATTAAGTTTTTCTCTTAATTTGTTTATACAGAGAAAAATTTTCTTAATTTTCGTTGATTTCGGATAACAAGTATGATTTCCAGAAATTCTCCTGAGAAAACAACTGATATCTCAAAGATTTTTGGGTGAAATGAATCGAAAAAATTATCAAATGTACTTTAAAACATTTTTAACAAATTCACAAAATTAAAATAAAATTAAGAAAATTTTTCTCTGTTAAAAAAAACTAAGCACAAACACTTCATATTTAGCCTCCTAACATGGTTTGCCCCCTTAAGTGCCTCACCCCGTATTTACATTTTTGATATAATAAACATAATATAAAACAGTAAAAGAAACAGTACGTTTTACCTGGATTTCATCGCTGATTTCTTCCTCTTTAATTTTAACTGGTACAAAATTGTGCCCAAATGAACGATTTCCTTCATTATCTTCTGGCGACGAAGAATGTATTTGCCTCGTGTTTTCGTCGACGTGTTTTAAAAACGAACTGACCGGCTTATTTTCCATTACGGTATACTACACGTAAATTGTGAACTAATAATAATGTTTCTTCAGTAAGTTTTTGGTAGAATTTTAAGGAAATTAATTATGAATTTGATTGTTCACCATGAAACACCACATTCGTATTTCGAACTTACAATGTCTCCCTAAAACCTTCGTTTTGTAAAGAAATTAGTATTAATAATCGATACTTAATAACAGTTATATTATATTATATTATTATTACTATTTTCTGTAGTCATTAGCGAAATTGAATTCGATATTCATTAAAGAGAATTAATTATTATCGTACGCACGAAAGAAAAAATTTCTTTTAAAAATTTTTATTTTAAATAACAAAAAATTGTGGTTGTCAATGTTTTTAATAATAATAGTAGTTATGTTAAATTAATGAACACAATTTTTTTGGTTTATGTTTAATGATTTGTTTCGTTGATAACAGCAACATGAAATTTGTCCTCTTTTTCCACATTCTACACGATAACTTGACATTGAAACTAAAAAATTAAAAAAATTATTTAAATATAGTTTTGTTTATAGCTATCGTTGCAACTAGAATTATACTCATTCATTAATATTTAACCATATTTTTAAATAATCAAGGTTCAAAAATAGTGTTGAAAAATCAAACGTCCGTCATTTTGTTTCTCTGGTTTGTACGATGCCGACAAAATTATATTTTAATAATTTGTTTGGTTTTTTATGTGGCTATAACAATGAACAAAATTATTCAAAATAAACAACACAAATTCTAATTTATTAAATTAACATGTCTATTATTATATGTAACATTGACATTCCACAATTGTTTGTTATATAAAATAAAAAATTTTTTTCTTTTGCGCTTTCGATAATAGTCCCTTAAGTTACAGTAATCAGAGTATTATATTTAAGTATTATCTTACGTATTATCTTTGTTATTTTGAAACTGAATTTCATTATTTGTTATCTCATTTATTTGTCTCTATTCGTTACATCCAGTTTGGATATATGCAAAATCAGATGTTATTTTAAAACTTAAAAACTAATTTTGTAATTTATACAAAAACAAATAGACAAATTGATTTTTGTTTCATTGAGATATCTTCGGAATTCAATTTTGGATTATATTTCAAACATTTAAACCCTACATATTCCTCATAAATAAGTTTACACAAGTTCAACCCAAAATAATTCGAGGGTAAAAGGGTTAATTCTCGTAATTTCAAACGTATTAATACGTACTTCGAGTATTTATCGTTAATCATCCATATTCGATTACGCGATGAAAATATTCCTGTAACTGCCAAAAAACAATTTTAAATCTATATTTACCTACCGAAATGTTATTGATTATACGATTAAATGAAATCATTTCCGAATTATTGTCATTATATCTCTCAACCTACTATTAAATCTTCGTAAGTAATAATAAGAATATTAACTTATAATCAATGCATTACTTTATCTTAAAATGAAGTATTCTTTCACAACTATGTTATTATACATTGTTAACAGTTTCACCGTCACTGTGAATCAGTTTACAGAATTCGTACAATTCATAAATATATAAAATTATCATAGGCAAAAATTTGCTTCGTTTAACAAAGCAATACAGAAAATGCAACAACAAATTCAATGTTACTCCAATTGTACTGCGTACAATGCGATCAAAGAAGAGTAACCTCGAAAACTTTTCAACTTATTCGATCACACTCGGAACCAGTATAAATATTCAAATAGATAATACCGAAGCATCAAGTTGTCCCTAATCAAATTTCACAGATATTTTTAGGCCAGTAAGGTAACACAACTTGCGTGAAAATAGATCACATAAATAACTCCGTCTAGTGTCTTCGCATTCTCGCCGACTTAACAGAAATTTTCTCCTTCTCGGAAATTTAAACTTAGCGTACACGTTACATGGAAATTACCACTTCAACGATCATAATTCATTTTACATTCGATATCAATATTTAACCATTTACTGAAACAATTATATCCCTGTGAACGTTTAAACTTGTTCAGTTATCGTTAATAAAACTTGCGCTCACTTAAACCAAATTGGCGATCACAATGGATATTGTTAAACGATCCGTTGCAGACGCACTTTCGATTTAGAGGATCACGTGGCATGGTATTTGAAGTATTTACTGTTTTTCCAAAATAGAACACGCGGTGTCAAACGATTCTTTGAATCCTGGAGTTCTGATTTAGAGAAAAATCACGCTGGGGTAGAGAGAAAAGTTTTGCGTTTTTGTGCGCGCACTTCCTTTAAACGTTTTCGATTCTTTGTAACAACAGCTTTTTCGAAGGTTCAAAGACGGAATACCAAGAAAGACTGATGGTAGGTACGCGAGCGTAAAAATACCCAAGATTACTTCCCTTCAAACGTTTGCGTTCGTCTAAAAACAGCGCTGGTAAAAACCAACATGTTACACCTACGAGCTCCCAGCCTGGACTGAACGTGAATTCTCGCGATCCGTTGAGTTATACATTAAACTCTGCAAAACGAATTTATTGTTAAAATAATAATAAGATCTCGTAATAGTTAATTTGAAAATATTCCGTTTACAAGTCATTACAAACAGCTCTGACTAACAAAGAAAACTCGCCAATTTGCATATTTCAATCTGTATAAAAACGTAGCTCGAATAATATTAATAATGTAAATATTTTTGATTTATCAATAAAACGATCCTTGGTGTGAAACCATTTCGTCCTTAGAAATTGTGAATTTTCGCAATATCAAGAATATCGGTGAAACTTCTTGAAACTGTTTATAAAAAGAAACAATTTTTTTTTAATTCTTTTTCTATTTTTTTTTTATATTCCTCCTATAGGTAGTCTACTTTTGCTTTTTTGTGTCATAATTAACAATATTCAGCAGCGTATATTTCAGCAGCGTTAGTTCAGACAACGCAGCAGCACTGTCGCACCACTATACTGCTTCTTTTGATCGCGAAATACTGCTGAATATTATTAATTATGATACAAAAAAGAAAAAGTAGACTACCTATAGGAGCTTGCGCACAAGTTTGAACATTTATCTAGCGGAAACGACTATTGAGAGGTCTCAAATTTGCATTGTCGAGACAAAAATAGGACAATACGCAAGCCCTTGCAGTTCCCTGTACGTAAAGATCGAACGCATATACTACGGGACGCACTCAAGGCTATACTCATTCTAGATACATTTCGTTCACCCTTCTCAGGTACATTTACAAGGGAAGATCGCGATCCGGACGAGCGCTTTTTGAACGAGACCGGACTCAAATGATGGGAGCTGATAGGCATAAAAAAAGTGCAAAACATTAGGGGTATCTGGCCAGCCGTTTTGATAAAAAATGGCTTTAAACATTTACAGGTCACTAGATATACGAAAACATTCAATTTCTTAACAGAAGATGTTGTAGCTGGGAGCGTTACGCCGCAGGTTCATATTCTATAGTTCGTGGGTTCAAGACTCTCGGTAATAGAAAATTTTTTTTGTCTACTATTACATTTCTATTTCTTATTCCTTTTTTTACTTACTGCTATATAAATAATATATAAGAATTATAAAGTATAGGATGTTGACTACAATTTTTAATAATACATTTTTATTAATAATAATATTAATATTAATAATAATATTGATAATAGTTTATTAATAATAAATACGCCACATCCCATATATTTGTATGTTTACTTCTACTATTGTATTATGTATTGCATGTACACATTATAATATTATGTTCACATTTATATTATTTACAATTTCTGCGCACATATATATTTAGTAGCCAAATACGTAATTATTGAAAAACGAATTTTATTTTAATAAACGCTTTATCCGCACTTATTATTATTAAAAAATAAATTAATTAATAAAAAACGTGTTATTACAAATTGTAGCAACATCCTATACTTTATAATTCTTATACATTATTTATATAGCAGTGAGTATTATAATTCTTAAATATTATTTATGTAACAGTGAGTAAAAAAAGGAATAAGAAATAGAAATGCAGTTGGAAAAAAAAATATCCATTGCCGAGTCCAGAACCCACAAAACTTTAGAACATGAACTTGCGTCGTAACACTCGCAGCTACGACAGTTTCTGCTAAGAACTTGAATGTTTTCATATATCTAGATTCTAGTAACCTGTAAATGTTTAAAGCCATTTTTTATAAAAACGGCTGTCCAGATACCCCTAATGTTTTGCACTCTTTTTTTGCCCATCAGCCCCCATCATTTGAGCCTGGTCTTGGTCAAAAAGCGCTCGTCCGGATCCCAACCTTCCCTTGTTAGACACACTCTTCGGTTTCGAAATACGTAAAATTCATTTCCGATTCGCAATTCCAGACAACTGGAACTCTTGATATTTTGTCTTGAAGCAAGGAACTACTATACATGTATTCGAATAAAATTAATTTGTTCTAGCATCAAAGTAATAAATTATAATATTTTTTGATTATTACTAATTAAAAATTATTTAAAAAATTATTTAAAAAATATATAAAACAAATGTATATTAGTACACAGCGTGTCCCAAAAATGTTGTAACACACTGAAAGGGGTGGTTCTGGAGGTGATTTAAAACAACTTTTTCCTTAGCGAAAATGTTGTCCGAGGCTTCGTTATGGAAATATTATGAGAAAACCTCGACCAATCAGAGCGCGCGTATATCGTTGGAGCGGCCGCGGTAGCGAAGGCTACGAGCTAAGCAGCTGCGTCAATGTCCTTCGATACACGTCGAGTCACTTGTTTGCGTACGAGCGTGGCCGCTTAGCTCGTAGCCTTCGCTACCGCGGCCGCTCCAACGGTATCCACGCGCTCTGATTGGTCAGTGTTTTTCGTTAATATTTCCTCAACGAAGCCTCGGACAACATTTTCGCTAAGGAAAAAGTTGTTTCAAATCACCTCCCGAACCACCCCTTTCAGTGTGTTACAACATTTTTGGGGCAGCCTGTATATCACAAGAGTACTACTTAGTTACAATACATTTACGTTCTATTTTCAGAGAACGATTATTAATCCTTCCAATATATCTAATCATATTAACATTACGTATATATTTTTTTATTGTCAATTAATACCATTAATACCAAAAAATTAATAATTCTAAATAGAAAAATAATGTAGCACATTTAAGACTTAAACGAACTGTAAAAATGATACAGGAATATATATGAACAGTTTCCTTGATCTAAAGGAATCATTGGTATATAAAAATTAAACTTGTTTAGTTTCACCACTACAATGAGGACAACAAGTTACATTTGAATCACATCGTGGAAGAAATATTTGGCCTCCAATTGCTACAGCTGCTCCCATCACTGCGCTACAAGCTATATCTTGTCTTCCAGACATGAGCAATTTTGGACTCATGAGTACCTGCACATAAATGTAAGAAGTCGAAGTTTGAAACTAAGAAATTAACAGTAAAAATAATACAGTTCCGGAAAACAATTAATATTGAAATAAAAACATACTTTCTCAGCAGTCTTTTCAGCAAGAGTTTTCATATCTAGACCAGTTATATTGATTTCACGTTGTAAATTAATATTGTCTACACCACTTAAAAGTTGAACTTTCAGAATTTCTGCGAGTTGACAGCAGCCTTGTGCTAAATCTATAATATTTGTACTTGGTATTTCATGTCTTTTACAAGAGGCAGCTCCAACAGGATCAAAGTTTTCACGAAGAATACTAAGAGTTCTGAAATTAAAAATTATCTTTATGTATGTTTTGAAACAAAAATTTGTAAATTTGCATTTATCATAACTAAATAGGCACTTTAAAGTATAAACAAACCTATATGTTTTAAGGGACATGTCACGAACGTGATTACGATCCTCTAAGAGCCTTTTTATTGCTTCTTGAAGATCTGTTGTCCTTTGACAAAGAGCTGCTTTCCATTTTGCAAGTTCTTCAACCATTAAGCTGTCATAGTAATAAGTTATAATTTACTGTAGAATTATTAATACGACACATAGAAATAGTAGAGAAAACGCGTTTTGGTGAATTTATTGAATGATTTGTATTTACCTACTAGCTAAAAATTTACTTCTCCAAACTTCACACTGACCAGCCAACCATTCAGTTTGTTCCTGATGCGTTGAAAGGTGTTGAACTGAATTTAAAAGTGCTCGAGCAAGTTGTAATTTATCTTCAGTTAACAAATGAACTTTCGTTTCAAGATCTTCTCCTACAGCAGCTACTAATAAATTCTTCAATTCACCATTAACCTATTTAAAGAAATGAATAATATACATTTTGAATCTTTGTATTTTTATTATTTGAATATATTTGTATGCATTTATTTTTCATATCAAATAAAAATTATATGTATACATAATATCAACAAATAATTCAAGAGAAGAGAGAAGATAAAATAAAAAATATATATAAGTCTTTAAGTCTCATGACTATATGAGTAATTTTTAATAGATTTAAAGGTAATTATGAACTTTTTATACACTAATACACTTGTAATTTCTGATATGAATAAAGGGATGCATTAATACCTGTGCTTGAAATTTCAATTGATTTTCAAGTTGACTGTTTTCTTCTTTGAGCTTTTGTATTTCTGCATCATATGATTTCTTTTCTTGTAACCACTCAATCTCCATACTGATACCTTCACCTGTATTAGTAGTATCATTTGGTGGCACTTTCATTTCATGAATTTTCATTGCAGCAACTCGAGAGGCAGTCATATCTAAATTGGTTTTCTGTAATTTTTTACCTTTTTTGTTATATGGAATGATTGGGTTAACTGCTGCTTTATATGGTTCATATGGAACAAATTTTGGTTCCTTTGACTTTAATGAATTTAAAAGACGTTTTTCATCTTTTACACTAGTAACATGTTTTGGTACTAAATTTACTATTGGACCATTTGGAGTGACTGGAGAAGTTGAACTTAATTGTTTCAAATTAGTTGGATGATAAATAAGTGTGTCTCCGAGGCGGTATTTTGTCTGTTTGTTCTCAATTTTTTCCGTCATCATATTTTCCATGCCATCACCTTGCGTACGTCCCATACAATGCATTGTTTGTACATCTTAAATGTTAATTAAGTCAGATTAATACACGATATTAAAAATTTTTTAAAGTAATGTTACTAAATATAAGATTAACCACTTCTTTCACTAGCACTTTGCAATGAATTTACATTTCCATATTTTCTTGTGATTTAATTAATAATGACAGTAATGGAAAACTACCAACATATTGTATTAAATGTACCAAAGCATCAAGAGTATGTCTTACAGATACAATTTTATATACAAAAGTAAAAGAAATATAATATTACAGACGTTAAATGTGTACAAATTACACAAAGAATTATATAACTATATTAAAATAAACTTAATTCCATGTGTGCATCGTTCACGAGTTACGTTGAAACCAAGAGTTTATACAAGTGGGTCGTAAAAAGAGAAATCTAACCTTGTAATTTACTTTGTGCCCCATCCTTCGTCGAATTTGGAACAGTAGACATTTTAATATTACTTTGGATATATTTTAAATAATTATATTCGTTATACTAATAAAATGATAATTTTTGAACTACTTCCTGTAAATCATTATTAATCATACTGCTTAGTGAAAGCCAGAGAGACCAAGCGCAGATGAGAACTGAAACCAGTGTCAGTGTGTAAGATTCGAAGATTTCTGACTGCAGCGCCGTCTGCAGCACACTGAGGAAGTTTCGATAGTTTTCATTGGTTTTCATTCGGACCGTACCACATGAAGACTGTATAAGGAGTTCTAACTGTGTAGTGTAAAAGTGTTTTCAAAATAAGGGGATAGACACGGGTAATGCAGCGAGGTGATATTACTGGCAAAAATGGGCCTAAAAAGGGGTTCGAGATTTTTCGCTT